TCATTACATCCCCTACATCTAACACAAAGCATAACAAGCTCTCAATAAATATTGACAGAGTAAATGAAGTAGAGAAGAGTAAACTAACAATTATAAATATTAATCTGCAGTCATATTAAAGAAGTGCTGCCTATCTCATGTCACTACACTAAGAAACCTGGATTAGTTTAATCTCCCTCCTGGGTAGAGAAGAAATAAGATCGAGGACTTAGGAAGGTAGGTTAGGAAATGGCAGAACATCCTTCTAACACAGGTGGACACAGGGAAGGTGGGAGGCCAATGAGAGCAATAACGTCCTCATCTCTCATAGTAGAGTCAATCAATACTGTCTAAACGTGAAATATAATGTTCAAACCACTTGAAATGTTTTACATAATCTTTTCTTTCTTAAACTTAGAGGAATCTCTGGGGAAATACTAACACCTGGAGTGAAAAAACAGTTATTTGAAATTCAGCCATTTCTTCTGTTTCACTAGTTTTTCTTTTCTATAAAATTCAGTTAGAATTTAAAATTTAAATTAAAATGGTAAATTTAAGTATTATGATTCCCTTTTTATAAAATAATCTCCATATATCTATTCTTCTGTATGTACATGCGCAGAAAGATGTCCAGAATAATTTTCCTCAATGTTAATGTTACTTTCAGATAGGTGCAGGGGATTAAGAGTACACTGACTTGATAAGCACTAAATATAGAACTATCAAATCACTGTATTATACACCCGAAACTAATATATAACACTGTATGTTAACTACACTGGAGTTAAAATTTTTATTTTTTTATTTTTTATTTTTTTTAAAGATTTGATTTATTTATTTGACAGAGAGAGACAATGAGAGAAGGAACATAAGCAGGGGGAGCGTGAGAGGGAGAAGCAGGCTTCCCGCAGAACAGAGAGCCCAATGTGGGGCTCGATCCCAGGACCCTGGGATCATGACCTGAGCCGAAGGCAGACACTTAACAACTGAGCCACTCGGGTGCCCCTGGAATTAAAATTTTAAAAAATAATGTTACTTTCAGAGTTAGGAAGAATGTCACTTAATGTATTATAATTAGTCTCCTGTGTTGGTTAATTTCTTTATAATAAAGATAAATCACTGTTTGAAAAACAAAGAAAAAAAGTTAAGATGACTTTCAAGACTGAGCAACTGAATAGTTGGTTGGGCCACTTAATGAGATGGAAACAGAAGATTTATTTTGTTTTGTTTGTTTTTGTGGGAGGAGATCCAAAAGTTCAGTTTTAGACATGTTAAGTTTGTGATGTCCGAGAAATGTATGAATTGAGATGTCAAGAGAGAGTTGTATATTTGAACCTGGTAGCTCCAAATAATGATTTAGGTTAGGGATATAAACTGTGGGGCACCCACGGACATACAGGATACTTAAAGGTAAAGTTGTAAGTGGATGAACTTGGGGTAGAACAAAGAGGAAAAAGTGCAACTGGGACAAAGTCCTTAGTATTCCAAATTCTTTTTTTTTTAAGATTTTATTTATTTATTTGAGAGAGCGAGAATGAGAGAGAGAGAAAGAGAGAGAGCACATGAGAGGGGGAAGGGTCCAGAGGGAGAAGCAGACTCCCAGCAGGGGAGCCCGATGTGGGACTCGATCCCAGGACTCCAGGATCATGACCCAAGCCAAAGGCAGTGGTTTAACCGACTGAGCCACCCAGGCGCCCCTTTAGTATTCCAAATTCTAAAAATTGCTTAGAAAATGCAAAAGAGAAAAAATAGCAGCTGTGGAAGTGTCACAGAAACAAAGAGAAGTTTCACACAGAAAGAAATGGTCCACTCTATCAAATGCTGATAGTTATAATAAGAAAAGAATTAAAAAGAGAAGAATCTATTACATTCATCAGCATAGAAGCTACAAGCGACTTGAGCAGGATGTGCAATTCTGACAGAGTTAATAGGGTCAATGTCAAATCTAAGTGGGCTGAAAAGTAAAGAGAGGTGAGCAAGTGGGGACAGTTTGTACAGATTACTTGCTATGATGAGAGGAAGAGAAACAGGCCAGTGACTTCAGAGACAGGAGGTCAAGAGAAATTTCTTTTTGAGTGTGTTTCGTTGTAAGATGAAACAGGTGAGGGCATGTCTGCACCCAGATACCAAAATTAGAAAAGGACAGGCTAGAAGTGGAAACAAAGAGGATAGGAGGGCTAATCAAAGGAGCAAACTTCTCATATATTAGTCATTTACAAGATTTCTAGGATCTGAACAAATAAAAATTCAGAAATTTACAGAGGATGTGATTCTATTAAAAAGTGAAAATTCATGGGGCGCCTGGGTGGCTCAGCTGTTAAGCGTCTGCCTTCAGCTCAGTTTGTGATCCCAGGGTCCCTGGATGGAGCCCCACGTCGGGCTCCCTGCTCGGTGGGAAGCCTGCTTCTCCCTCTCCCACTCCCCTGCTTGTGTTCCCTCTCTCACTGTGTATCTTTCTGTCAAATAAATAAATAAAATCTTTAAAAAAAAAAGTGAAAATCCACATTTCACTAAGCCCTGTATTAGCCTCATCTAAGTGCTGTGGCAAACTTACAGAAACTGTATTAAATGTACCCTTATTCAGAGGGGGAAAAAGTGAATGGAACAAGCAGTGCTAAGTACAGAAGGCAAATACACTCATGAGATGATCTACTGAAGGGAACGGTATAATAAAGGTACAACTAGAAACAAAACCAATGTAGAAAGTAAAGAAAATGATGTAGGTAAGAATCCAAAACACAGAGAAACACAAGATTTATAGAATACAAAGCTATGATATAAATTATCACTATTGGGCCACAAAGATCAACGCTAGACTGAATTATTAGAAGAAAGTAAAGTATCTAACCTCAAATGTATGACTTAAAAATATAACTGAATATTATGAACATAAACTTGGAAATACAATGAAATAAACATATTGTCAAAGAAAAACTTGTTAAAAAAGCACAAAAAATAAAATACAAACCTTTCCTCAGAAAGTGATTTGGTCTTTTTCTTTCTCTTATTTTTTTTTAAAAGATTTTTATTTACTTATTTGAGAGGGAGAGAATGAGAGATAGAGGGCATGAGAGGGAAGAGGGTCAGAGGGAGAAGCAGACTCCCTGC